TAGTACTCTCTCTCTCTCTCTCTCTCTCTCTCTCTCTCTCTCTCTCTCTCTCTCGCGAGCACATAGAGAGGAACGCGATCGCGTTTTCGCTTATTCGTGTCGCGTAATGATTGTTCACTAATGATTTCGGGTCGCCGTAACTCCCTTCGCACCGAGAAATTTTATTTACCGTGCGGTAATCAAGCTTATCGGTTAACGTAAATTAATTCCCAAATGATTAGCGATCGAAATTACGTCATTTGCATCCACAGATATTGCATTGATACATCCGTATATTTCGATTATGTCACTGCAAATATATTGCAAATATATCGGGAAATTATTATTTAATTTTTCTAACGTGCACGTTATTTAATTCGTGTAAAAATATGTCATAATTAATTTGTACATTTAAATACAATAAACATATTGGCGATATGCAATTAGAATGTTATCGTGATTGTGATGTTAAAATGTAATGTGATTTATTTGTAAAAATGTTAATAAACGACGAAACTGTAAAAGCTAATGGCTTTCAGATTCGAGAGTAGTCTGTCATAGTTGCGAATGCAAATGGATTAATATGATTTTGCGAGACATAATACCGGGAGATTACGTGATGAATCCATAGGGGCTAATAAAACATGATGTAATATTGATTTCTGCAATTTCTACAGTATTAAACCATTAATGACAGTAGTCTTGATAAACGCATCATCAAACATATAACGCTAAACAACCCGACTATATCAAACGACTAATATCGGGAAAAGCTAAGTATCTTGCGCATATTTATTATTATGGATATTGCAACGGCGAGTGAATGGGGTGAATTCGGAAGTAAACCAGGATATTAAATTAAGAACTCTCTCAGTGACCCACTTCCACTCGCTTGAATTTACTCTGTTAACTCTTCGCGCCGTCAAAAAGGGGCATCTCTTATCCACCACCGCTGTATTTCCTCTGTGAAACGAAAAAAACTTGGGGGAAAAAAAAGAAACCCCCCCTCCCCCACAAAACGATTCGCGTTCCCCTGAAATGTCATTCGAAACGACTCGATGTCTCAAATCATCTTTGTTTGATCTTTAAAACAAAGTTTCTATCTTCTTATCTCGTCTTACCTATACTCCAAGTCTCATCATCTCTTTCTTTTTCTTTCCTTCATCTCTTTCTCGGAAGGCATTTCAATTTTAAATTAATTACCCGAAATCGAACGAAAATCCTCATTTCACTCTGCACACGCCCCATCCGATTTTGCACGCGTGCATGCTGATGCTGCACCAGAAACGCGGCAGCAATACTGACCTTGACTTTCCGACATCTCCGGGCGGCGATGGATCTTGACTGTCTCCTGAGCGCCTCCAGAGGAACGCGTTGCCTTCAGAATCCGCGCCGGTAGGTGCACCACCACGACACAGCGGCACCACCACTACTTCTCTCTCTCTCTC